CCATTTTGCATTTGGATCGAAAGGCCGTCGAGTGCACGAGCTGTCAAGGGGTTTTTGGTAAGTTTGAGCTTTTAAAACCACAGCAGTGACCCGAAATCTGCTCGACTACCTTCAAAACACAGTTTTCCGCAAAAGCTGTGGCCATTAATGGCTTAATACACTCAGATATCTGAAATTTGAATTTCTGAAAAATTGAGGACTATCATAGAGGAAATGTAAATAGATATTTCGCTGTTTTAATTGGGGCATGATTGGTCACCTGATGCTTTTAATTTAAATCACTCCTGTGTGGGAAAAAATATATAATGGATCATAATAGTTCATTATCCAACCACATATTATGTGAGGAGACAAACTTGTCAGTCACAGGGCATCAGACAGGTATTAACCTTAATAACTCCCACGAGTGATTAAAATGTAACTTCTCCACAGAGTATCCATACATAATCCAGCAAAGAGGTAAAGAGAAAGCTCAAACTTATCAGGTAGAAGATGTTGTCTTGACCAATAACAAATTTTAGTGACTAATTTACTGGGAAATGTGTACAACAGATAGATGTAAGAATTAGCAATCAGAGCTTGGGAGTTAAAGATCACTGAATTATATACTCCCAAACTGACTGAAGAAAGATTGTGGCAATTAAAGTCTTCTTTAAAAGAAGTCGCAACCATTCAAAATCATGAATTTTGTAATATGGATTTTAACTTTTAATGTCAATATAAACCTTACCAAGAAGAAACTGTTTCACCTCATTACAATAAGGGGCAAGGGATGAGTGGATGAAAAGTTGGTCAATTATGTTCTGTTTAGTTCACATACAGAAATTAAACTCACCATCATCCTGGGAAAATACACCTTGCATGCATAAGATGATCAGAATAACAGCAACTGTATAAAAGAAATTAACTAGAAATTAAGCAATGCAATGGTTAATTAGTTAGGAAAAATACAATTCATTTGTAGCAAAGTGAAGTGCTCAATCATATGGCTTTGAAACACCCAAGCAGACATTTACAGAACTGTATTTCTACACAAGTGTTGACCCTTTGACCAGTGAGGTAAACCAATACAGGTAAACATACTGCTATCATCTGAAATTGTAATCTTTTTAATTTAATTTTTTTTGGTGACAATGAACATTATTCCAGTTGTAAATTATGTAATACCTATATGGCTTCCCTATAACTTAATTTTTTCCCTCCTGCCCTGATTAGCCTCACAAGACTGTGGGCAGAGTTTATTAGATGCATTTTTTAGATGTATTTTACATATTTTAATTTCAAATACTGACAATTGTGAAACCTTTGAAAAGATGTCTGGGAGCTCAGTCGTATTCTCTCAGGAAATACAAAACTTTTTTGTGCCTTAAAGATGTGAAAATTTCATTATTTTTATCTTATTGTTTTGATCGCACATGGTTGTTTTGACCAAATGCACATTATGTCACTTGCAGGGTTTGAATCAATTATTTTTGCACGTGATGCATGCGCTTTTCTTCTGTATAATTATGAAACTACCTTGTATTTTTCCATGTATATTATTTAGTTCTTATTAACCGAGCAAGAGATCTGTATAGGAGAATCTTGACCGAAGTCGCCAGTACAGACTGAACACAGTGAGGTCTGTACCAGCGACCGAGGTCAAGATTCTACCATACAGACTGACCTAGCTCGGTTAATAAGTTGTTTATTATATCACTTAGTCCTAATTATGCCAATTTTTTATATTCTTTGTACCTTTTTTCTAGACCAGTCTAGATGCCAGTCTAGATGGGAAAATCTAGACCGCTTTCAATATTGATTTCAGCCAAACAAATTTGTGACTTTGGTAGTTCCCAGTCCTTGTGAGACACAGCCATATAACAATAATACATAATCACATGATTTTTCTCGTGCAATTTGGGATAAATGAGCACTTGTAATGTTTTCAAAGACCACAAATTGCACTCGCTCTACAGGCTCCTGCAATTTTGTTAGTCTTTGAAAAAATTTACTCATGCTTATTAATTCCACATTGCACTCGAAACTATGTGATTACCTTGACAAAGTAGCGATTCCCTTAAGTATCAATTTTGACAAACATCAACAATTAAATATAAAACCATGCACGCCAAGCTAATGGCAAGGAAAACAAAATGCAGCCATGTTGAAGGATTTGTACAGAAATCTGCTCTCATCGAAAGAAGCAAAGGTGTTTTCTGCGTATGGCGCATCTGACAAATTCTGATTGTCTAAAATTGCATATCTCAAAGTTAGTTTTACTCTTTCGAAACCCCTCTACATTACATGTTATTTATATGCTTATTCCGATCCTACAACCAAACGATATTTTACTAATTCAAAGAACACTAACAATCGACAGCCACATCGTGCTGTGCTTGACACTCGATCTGCGTCGGATTTCACAATAATATTTTTACATGAAAATTACTGCAGTTAACTATGCCAGGGTGGTTTAACCACGGTGGTTATAAAAGCAGCAGCACAACAACAAATTGTTATCACAAAAAGATACCGCTGAAAATCTGAATTCACCGGAGGCTAAAATGCACACCAATGCGGTCCGAGAGGCTAAACTCATTGAAACCCGACGAATGCAGCAATATATACTATGTTAAGAGCCAAAATAGAATACTTACATAGCATGTCGCGGACCGATGCGGCTTCCATACCCATATATCTGATTATTTCGGGCGATCAACACTCTTCAACGCCCCATATGTCCTCTTTACCCGGTGAGGATATGAAGGAGCTGGGAACGAACCTGAAGGTTCGCTCCCAGCTCCTTCAATTGGGACCTGGGAATGCTCAAATAGTGGAATTTTCCTTCACGATGGATAAAAAAGGGCGTCAGTTTAAAAACATCACACTTCGATCTGAAACGACTTATTGATTCCTCTACCTTAAGTCACAGGTGATTTTACCCAATATCTGTATGCTGTATACGACTTTCCCTGAGGCTTGGCAGAGGTTTCGCTTCCCTGTTTTCAGTTTTTTTGTTTTTCATGACCTTACCCAACGCGCTTTCTCTTCATAAATTCGTCTCTTTTAAAAGCGCAATCAACTCCATCTCTTCCTAATTTCGCCCATTTATTCCAAAAGAGCATTAGAGATCTTTCCAGAAATGAGATAGTCTCCGAGAATTAATAATAAGATTGAAAATTTCTCGAATTAATTTTCGGTAATGTTCGCATATAACCTGTTCGGCGCTATTTTAGCTCAACGGGGACTTAAATGATTAGAGAATTTCAGTAAAATGTAGGAAATGCCTTTTTTAGAGAGTCTAGCTAAGTGACTTTCCGTGAGAATAATCTTGGTACAATACCACAAACCTCCCCAATCGCTCCCTCGTTTAATTAGACAACGACAGTACAATAGCGATGATGACGAGGGAGCCTAACTACTAGATAACTGAGGTTGTGTTGAGAATTCAGCAATTTTTTATTAATGTTAACTTCAAGCAGCGGAAAAAATGAATTAAAAGGAACGAAGGTGGCACCACTGGCTGTTATCTGGAGTTTTGAGCAACAGTGGTGACGGTTGCGTTTGCAGAAGCAGTAACTATTCAAAGGGGGTAATTTACTAAAGAAACTGTGGTGCTGCGTTGGTGGGGGTAACAAGGTAATTTGGTAATATCAACTAAGTTGAAATTGTAAATTGGCCACCGTAAAGAGTTAAAAAGGTGACGTTTCGAGCGTTAGCCCTTCGTCAGACCGAATGGAGGAATAAAGGCTGATAGTTTCTAAAGAAACTGTTTGGGGCTGTGTCGGTGGGGGTAACGAAATAATT